ATTACCGTTTTTAGAACTGGGCTAATCAGAAAACAGCCGAAGACCACCAAACCCCCAGTTCTATAAGCCTGCTACGGAGGCTATTTATTAGCCTGATTAAATTGCCTCGGCTGACACGGCCGGCGGACCGGCACTGCGGGCGATCACCACGAACTGGATAGCGTCGTCAGTCTCTCGGTCAGGGGGGAACAGAACCTGCCGGGAGAAATGCAGGGAATTTAGGATTCTGTGGGGCAAGGGGAGTTTGTATTGGCCTCTTGAACCATTGGCCAACGGCTACAGGAGTCCAATGGATACAGGCTGCCAATATAGACTACCCTCGTGAGGTCGTGTGGCGCAACGGCAGCGTGCGCGACTCGGAATCAAGAGGTCCCGGGTTCAAGTCCTGACATGCCACCGATCTTGTGCCCTTGGAAAAGGCACTTAACACGACTTTCCTCACTAGACTCAAGTGAAAATGAGTATTGTACTGTCCCCTGTGTTAGTGGCGGCATTAATATAAGTTGAAAAAACTTGAGTGTGCCGCCCCACGTCTTGTGATTAGATGTTGGAATATACAAAAAAAGGCTACCCTTGCCCCACAGAATCTGCTTGGAGACTATGACCCTGCTTCTAGACCAAGAAGTCGCGAGTTCTAATCCCGGTTATGTCACTGACCCGAGAAAAAGGCGGGAAATTTGATTGTCATACTTCCGTGTATAATCCAGTTATTAGTTGCCCTGCCTCTAGACGCAGAAGTCGTGAGTTAAGAATCTTGGCTGTTGATGCTCACCCGGCTTGTACATTACTGAAAGGTGTCGAAGTCTGTTCACGGTGGTTGTCAAAAAGAGCTTGGGGAATTTTTCCGGTAACATGTTCCTCTAAATACTATATATAGCCATGACCGGTGGAAGAGTAGCTGAACTGTTCATTGAATTAATTTTAGCTAGACTGGTTCGAGACTGCTTACCGTGATGGCCCCGGAGCTGGTGTTGGAGATCTGGAACAGAGTAGTCGCCTGGGCTCCGTTGTGCTCCGTAGCGGTGGAGATCTCAAACGTTACAGGAGCTAGAAATAATCGTCAAAATTAAAACTGTGCCTTTTAGTTATCAATTGCAGTTAAAGCTATCAGAGTCTTGAATATCTGTTCCATTTGTTTCTATGCATCGACTAAAAAGCACTAGATTCAAATACACTGTGTATTTCATCGTATGATGAGGAAGGGAAGCCAAAAAACAAAACTTTTGGTAAATTCTAGTATATGAAACATCTACGATTGGACGAATCAAAGACGTATTCAGCGGAGCACGTTGGCAGAACGTAGTGTGTCTGCAAAATTATGATGCAACGCTCACCAAACATCCAACGATCGTGAAAAATCTGTATTTCTTGCAGGTACGTTCTACCGACGTGCTATTGATAATGCGATAGGTTGTTTGATAAAGAACATGAAGATAAAGACGCCAGGTTGTTCTTACATTCTGTAGAGACGACGGGCCGATGGCCGAGTTCTCCACCCACACACGCACGCACGCGCGCACGCACGCACGCACACACACACACACAACACACACACACACACACACACAGCATTGTTTGCTTAATGTTGCCAGGTGGTACTTATATATTGGTCAGGTTTTACTGCAGTTGTTCGTACCTTCAGTAGAGACGACAGGCGAGGCTGAGAAGGCGATCTGTCCGCCCGCCACGCCTGCGTACACGGTCCCCACGGCGGTGCCGACTGCAGAGTTCTCCGCCACGCTGAAGCTGTACGTGTTGGACGGGATGAACGTCAGGCCCGTCGTGCTGGCGTCTGGGGGGGAAACGAAGGTGCATTGTGTACATCATAGATGATAAACCGGCTGACATACCAACTACTAAATGCAATGCATGATGTGCAAAATGTCTAGCGTAAATTTTCGATGCACTACCTTAAGTTTTCAAAGTTCCAAAAGTGTCTCAAGCAAATTAGTTGCATAACCATATATTCTACCATGCCAACATTTCGATGACTTCTCAGTCATCCTCATGAGTGCAAACTGAACTTTGTTGAAGTATCCAAATCTGTGTTTAAATTTTTTATTCAAAATAACAGTGGCGCCGTACTCAAGTTGACCAACTGACTTTGCCAGTGCCACAAATTTAACAAAAATATGATAATGACCAAGGTGTATTACGTTTGGTAAAAGTAGTCAATACGATGATGCAAACCGGGTAGCCTACACACCTTGCACCTGTACGTCGACGTAGGTGACGGTGGTGAACTGTGTGCCGTCGGTCACCCACACCTCCAGCGTGTATTTAGTTTCACAACAATGACCTACCATTCATCTTCAAGAGTGCAAACTGAACTTTGTTTACGTGTGTCTACATCTGTCTTTAAAATTTGATAAAGACCATTATTTTTGGTAACATTAGGCATCATCATGGCACAAACGGAGCAGCCTACACACCTTGCACCTGTACGTAGACGTAGACGTAGGAGACGGAGGTGAACTGCGTGCCGTCGGTCACCCACACCTCCACCAATGGCCATACAGATATTCAGATGCAAATGCTGAAGCTGGCGTGTTACGTGTTGCTGGAGTGTTGCTTACCAACACAGATAAGCTTTCATTCTACAATGGTGCATTACTCTTTGCAAAAGTAGGCAATAGGGGTAGACCACACACCTTGCACCTGCACGTAGACGTAGGTGACGGTGGTGAACTGCGTGCCGTCGGTGACCCACACCTCCAGTGTGTATTTAGTTTCACAATACATTTTACAATGACAATGTAAACGTAGTCAATACAATGACGACACGGGACGGTCTACCCACCTTGCACCTGTACGTAGACGTAGGTGACGGTGGTGAACTGCGTGCCGTCGGTGACCCACACCTCAAGCGTGTAGAACTCCGTCACGGCGTCATCCAGCGTGTTCTCGACGCGCACGTCGCCCGTACTGTCGATACTGAAGTCACTGTTGGTGTTACCGGTCACGATGGAGTAGGACATGGCGTTGTTGGGTGAGATGTCGGCATCAGTGCAGGTAACGGTCTGTATGATGGAGTCTGCCAGTGCGTCATCGGACACTAGCACACTATCGAAAAAATAAAAAAAAACTTTTAAAATATAAATCAAACTTGCAGACAAAGACAGACTTCCAGGAAGCATGCAATCTTCAGCTTCTTTATGACCAAACACAAACATACCTGTCCTTGGTGCTGAACACCATCCACACACAAACATACCTGTCCTTGGTGCTGAACACCATCCACACATAAACATACCTGTCCTTGGTGCTGAACACCATCCACACACAAACATGTCTGTCCTTGGCACTGAACATCATCCGCACACAAACATGCCTGTCCTTGGTGCTGACCACCATCTACACACATGTATACCTATCCTTTGTACTGCACACCATCTCCTTGGCTCCCATTTTAACCATAATAATGCACGAGTACCACTCAGCCTCACCTGTAGAAGGTTGGGCACACCGGCCCGTTGTCGTTCAAATCGTTCACGGTGATGACGACCGTCGCCGTGTCCAGAGTACCGCCCCCGTCGTCTGCCGTGACCACCAGGGTGTAGGACGCCGTGGTCTCCCTGTCCAGGACGGCAGCGGTGGAGATGATGCCCGAGCTCGAGTCCAGGATGAAGTGGCTCAGGTCGTTTCCGGAGGTGATGTTGTAGCTGATAGTTCCTGCAATGTGAGAGAGAGAACAGTTTTTCATGACGCTCTCGATCCAAAAATCGTAATTTGGGTCATGATCCTTACCACAATATCATCATTTACGTCTTAGATCAAGGCCTACTTATTACTTTGAAGAAATCCAATGTCTCAACCTGTATTTAGTTACACTGATTTCCTTCATAAATCATTCAAATCATTAACTAACTAACCAACCAACCAACTAACCAACCGTCTAACCGGGTAACCAACCAAATCAATTAACTAATCACCCATATTCACACATAAATACTGATAACAGGATCCCTGACAGGATTGCTGCGCTGGCTGCTGACCGACGGACGTGGAATGGACTTGTGATCGCCTGCTCCGCAGCCGTCCGATGATGACTGATAACAACCATCTTCTTGAAGGAGTTAGCTATAAAAAAACTACCACATTCCATCTACTAGTATAACGGATGTTTCTGACGTACCGTCGTCCCCGCTGTCGCTATCGATGGCTGCAACTGCCGTCACGATAGTCCCCATGGCCTGGTTCTCGTTTAGATTTGCCGAGTAGGAAGTGGACGTGAAGGTCGGTGGGAATTCATTCACACCTGGTGTGGAAACGTAGACAGCGTGTTATTGGGTCATCCTTAGGACAAGGTTGCAGCGAAGAAACATCTACATAATGACGTTTTGTTCTTGCCTTTGGCACCATCCACGTGAATATGCCTGTCCTTGGTGCTGAACACCATCCACACAGATAAACATGCCTGTCCTTGGTGCTGAACACAATCCACACACAGGTAAACATGCCTGTCCTTGGTGCTGAACACAATCCACACACAGGTAAACATGCCTGTCCTTGGTGCTGAACACAATCCACTACCATACATAAACATTCCCGTCCTTTGTGCTGAACACCATGAATTTGACCGACTGACCGGTCCCTATATGGAAGTGCAGCGAGAGACTGTGTAAGACAGGCTACGTAAGACTACTATGGACAAAATAAAAAGATCCATACCCGTCACTGCGACGGCCACCTCAGCAGTCACCGCCGTCCCGCTGACGTCACTCACAGACACCTCCAGCTGATAACTGGTGGTGGTCTCGTAGTCCAGACTCTGTCCGGTTGCTATAGTTACAAATCCGGCAGTAGACACCTCGAACTTCCCTTCCGCGTTCCCGGCCGTGATACTGTAGGTGAGGGCGTTGTTGGTTGCGTCAGCGTCGGCGTCCGTGCAGAAAAGCCCGGCTACTATTGAACCTAATGTGTGTATACAAACACAGAGTTTTGTTAGTTAAATTGATTACTTAATACAACAGTATTACTTGATTTGCCATCACATAAAAGTGTTCTCTATTCATGCGACAACCAGTGGAAAACGTGGTGATGCTGGTAAGTTAACTTTAAGCAAATGCTTACCACCAAGGAAGAGGAAAAAACAAATTCAAAATCATTTTCAAAGACATTTTAAAAGTTCAAACTGTATTGTCTTTGGTGCCATTTTGACCAGGATTTCATTCATTTATTTGTTCCTTCGTTCATTCGTTACCTGCGGCTGCATTCTCCGCTAGCGTCATCGTATAGACGTCAGGAGAGCACACGGGGCTGTTGTCGTTGACGTCAGTGATGGTGACGGCCAGGGTGACGTCAGCAGACCTTTATTTTTTTATTTATTTATTCAAGAAAATAAAAGAACAAAAGATTTAGAACCATCCAACCCAGCAACATATTATCAAACCAAAATAAGACAAAAGTACATATAATATACTAAGTAATATAATTTCACAATAGATAAGCAATATGATTTGGTAATAATTATAATTTAGGGCCCATCACCCTTCGCTAAACCGCGACGGGGGACGACATCGTCTACCAGATACCTTTGACCCAGTGTTGACGTCACACTTCAAAGAAGCCACGTGACATTAAAGCCTCACTGGGTCAGTCTACTGAGGAAGACCAGAGTGACTGGTCCAAAGCTCTAGGTGACAGAACTTTTTTGTGTTGGATCAAAAGTTTTAACTCTAAACATGTAACTACCAACACAGATCTCATGATAGTGTGCTTTAGTAATATTGTATGATAACATATAAATGTAGACCTTGCTGTGGTGCCCTGATCCGTAGCCCGGATGGCGAGACTGTAGGTGTCCAACGTTTCCTTGTCCAGTGTGTCCGCCACGTACACTATACCCGTGGTTTCGTCGATGTTGAATTTTCCCAGATCACCTGAAGTGATACTGTACCTGTAGGACGATAGGTTATAGATAATGATGAGTACATTGTGAACCATATCTTTATTTGCAATCTTATGCCTGAAAGCTTATTTCAAGAGGACACACATACCAATGATTTTTAAAATCCTTGCACACACATACCGTAACGTAAAAGATCCAAAAGAAATCTGTATAGTCTATAGGTCTATCTGGTGCAGTGTTTCAAGGCACATAACTTGGGAATTTTTCACCTTCTTTGGAGGCAATGGATAATAGCGCCATGTATCCATTGATATGATACCAGAATAATATCAGAATAGGCCGGCACAACACGACGAGAAACGTTAAAAATAACAGAAAATTGAGAAGGGTATACGGAGAGAAAACTGGTTGTCAGATCTTTTGTGATGCCCCAATAGTCGGATAATTAGACAACGGAATAAGTACATAAAAGGAAGATTTGTGTTGACTTCTTACTTTATGTCTCCGTCCGATCCGCTATCCTGGTCCGTCGCCACAACAGTGTACAGCTGACTCCCCAACGCCGCGCTCTCGGCGATGGACACCGCGAACGGGGAGCTACTGGGCGAAGTGAACACCGGGTCGAACTCGTTTGCCGGGTCCACATCCACGTAGACTGTCACCGTGGCGGTTCTCTGGTCGGCTCCCGTGGCCCCGTCCTTACCTAGAACGTCCGTGAATATCCGTAAATAATTTCATCAGGTTGGTAAACGAATGAATAGCAAAGTTCTTAGATCACAATCATTTATTTTTCACGAACCTACGTTTCGATGACCGTCTGTCATCTTCATCAGGACAATTCTTTAGTGCACTATGCACCAAGTAACATCTAGCGTCGACGTCAGTGCACAGTAAACCAGTCAAAATTGCCCTGATGAATAAGATGACAGACGGTCATGGAAACGTCGGCTCGTGAAAAATAAATGGTTGTGATCAAAGAACTTTGCTATACGTTCGTGAATAGTTTTTTTTTATATATTCCAACATGTAGTCACAAAACGTGGTGACGGCACACTCAGTTTTTTAACTTATATTATTGCCACCACCAGCAGAGGGGACAATACAATACTCATTTTAACCTAAGCGAAGTGAGGAAAGTCGTGTTAAGTGGCACAAGATCCGTGGCATGTCAGGGCTCGAACCCGGGACCTCTTGGTTCCGAGTCGGGTACCCTGCCGCTACGCCACACGACCCACGTGAATAGTTACATCAGGTTGGTAAGTTACTGAGTAAAGAGACTCAGAACCACACATATGTGTAGATATGTAAATATTGTACGTTTGGGACTACATCTATATATAGCAGAGACACCTGTGCTGCAGTGCAATGTGAACCAGTCAGAATTGCCCTGAGGAAGGTGACAGACGGTCACCGAAATGTCGGCTGAATAAAAGACTTGGTTGTGTAAAAATAGTACAATGTTTACATATCTACACATATGCGTGATTACAGGGAACTGTATCTACAAGGCGGTCCCAAACGTACGGGAGTTGTACAAAACTGTGGTGGATTAGTGCCCTGGAAGGTGACAGACGGTCACCGAAACGTCGGCTGTGAATAAAAGACTTGGCTGTGTAAAAAGAGTCACTTTACCCCTTACCTAGGACGGTTAGAGCGTACTGCGTGGTGGTCTCATAGTCTAGCGAGGTGGTCGACTGGATAGTGATGAGGCCGGTGGTAGAACTGATTGTGAAGATGCCATCGCCGTTTCCGGCAGAAATGACGTACTCCAGGGTTCCGAAGGCGCCGTCGTCTGCGTCGGTTGCCGCCACGGTGATGACGCTATCACCCACCTGCGAAATAATGCAACATGTCAGAACTGCCACATTCAAGCTAGACGACGGGACGTTTTTGAGCATTCCTTGCATGCTAGAAAGGTCAGCTGTGACAGTCAGTGAAACATAACCAGCTACCGCTGCACTATGTACCTACAAAACAGCTTCTGTGTCTATATAGCAGTAATAACTGGTCAGTTGTTCTGCTGTATAGACACAGAAGCTGGTGTGTTTAGCAAAGGGCGGTTATACCGGCTATGCAGATACAGTCATACAGATACTGTGCGTGTGTAGACGTGCTGCAACTTATGTTATAGTTGCTCTAGGGTACCGTTCATGTGACAAATGGCACAACACTTGGCGAAACGTTGAGAAAATCATGTATTGGAGAAACGTTAGACTAACCGCGGCGGTGTCCTCATTAACGCTGGTCGTGTAAGTTGCAGGACTGAAGACCGGAGTGTTGTCGTTCACGTCCGTGATGCTGACTGTGGCCGTGAACGTAGCGGTCCCTCCACCTCCATCTGTGGCCGTCACCGTCAACTAAAACATTCCAACATCTTCATCAGACAAACTCACAATGATTGCGGTGCCTGTTAAACTCCTGGTACAAAGGAATGAAGATAGGACAAAACGTAGTCAAGCTGATGTTTTTATAGATCCCATCTCAATCTATCCTTACTAGTGCACGACAAAATGTAGCAAAGCAAGCAACACTGCGTTTTAGAACTCGAACCATGTTCGATCTGGGGTTCTAGTCATTCGAACCGAGCGCGTGTTCCATTTGGGGTCACATGCGGTCATTTTGCAGGTTTCTACAGTAACCCCGCACCGCCACGTCCTTTTTCAGACAGAAAGACATTTTCCAGAAACATAAACCGTTATCTAAACAGTAAATCTAAGCTGTACAATTTGATAAGAGAGGGAAATAATTCACCGTGTAGGTTTTGTCCTGTGTTTCGTAGTCCAGAGCAGTGGCCACCTTCAAGACCGCCGTGTCAGGATCCAGCGTCAGGACTTCAGAAGTTGGCGTAGTGACGTCTGAAAAGAAGACCGACTCTGATATTTCTTTCCTCATTCAATCATCATAGAAAATTCTATTCTCACGATTATGTATACGTGACATATGTCTCTGCACCATTGCATGAGTGTAGTTATGCGAATTTGAAGACGCTTAAATACTTAAATACCGACTACAGTCACCGTTAGTGTCAACCTTAACTTATTGCATCTGGTCCATTATTAACCAATAATTTATGATTAACAGAATACTTTGATCAAGTTGACATATATGGCACAATTTTGAAACGTAGACCACAATGGCTTAGAGCATAGATGTAACATGACTGCAGCCATACAATGGTTTATATAGCGTACTTACAGCCCAAGGAATAGGTAAGCTCTCCCTGGCTCCCGTAGTCGTTGTCTACTGCAGTCAGCGTGGCGATGTTTGTGCCGATCGCGGAACTCTCTGGAACCTGTGGAGAATAGATACCATCAACGTTAGAGTCAAATAACAATTTCAATGTAATGCAACTCGTAAAGTTCTTCTACGAAGAGGGGTTTTAACGTGCCCGAGTTTCATTGTTACAGAAACAGTGCCCTATATTGCTTTAAACGGTGCCTTATGCACTAGATAGACATGACAGAAACCAACGGACCCGCCTACAAATGCATGCATCATTGCAAACGCTAGTCACGCTATTTCCTAAAACAGACGTTTTTTAAAGCTGTTCAGATATCGTTTATGATTTAATTTGGGTATGTGCAACGTTGCCTCCATGGCCCGCAAATCGTCATGTATGAACATTTTTTTCTTCAAACTGAATTTACTTTCTAACCTGCAGCGACACATTGAAAATATAGTGGTCGTAGCGTAATCTCCAAGCAGATCCGAAGGTGGCAAAAGACAGTATCAAATTGGCCAGGTAGTATCCATTGGCCAGAGAGGGTCCTTTTCGCCATCCAATGGATACTGCCTGGCCAATTTGATACTTAATTTTACCACCTTAGGATCTGCTTGGAGATTAGTCTTAGCGGTAAAAACTCCAACATTACCGAGCTGATGAAGGGAGTGGTCAGCGCACTGAAGTCCGGGTTCTCGTTGACCGGTAGTATCTCCACCTCCACTGTGGCCGTACTGGTCAGCTCCGGCGTCCCCCCATCCATAGCCTTTACCACCAGGGTGTAGTGGACGTCGTGTAGGTCCGGAGAGTCCAGGTTGATGACTGAGTCGATTTGCACGGAGTTGCTGTTGAGGACGAATTTTCCCGCCTCGTTTCCCTTGACGAAGTCGAAGGTTATGGCGCCCGTCCCCTCTGGATCCGTCATGACGAAGGTCTGGACGTTCGTTCCTGTAGGCTCGTCTTCGTTTATTGAAACCTGGAACAGCAACGTCGAGTTTAGAGTGCTAATAGATAGACTAGGCAATGCCTTTACTGACAAATACACTGGTATGGAACTGCTAACAATTGCCAAAGAAAGCAGGATATCAGAGGCAAATAAAGTAATAGGTGCTGCTTGAAACATCTGACAGCTTTCTATCGAGTTGCCTGAGTAAAATTTTCTAGTAAAGATTTTTCTAACATACAAGATTTTTCTAAAAGTGAACTGTGCCTACCTGGTAAAGGTTCTGGTCAAACGACGGGGCGACATCGTTCACATCCAAAACATTAATGGTTACCTGAAAACAGAAAAAAACACTGCGCATTACGATCCTATAACGGTTACACTAATTTTCTTTCTGTAACTAGAAATCTACCTAAATGATACTCATAAGACTCCTTCCTCCATTATTCAATTAAGGATACGAGTTAAATGAATTTGAAAGGATAGATCCAAACAGGTCGAAACATTATTCCACTGGCCCTTGCTGTCAAACGTCCCCTAGGAAGTTTTGGCATTGTGCATGATTGGGTGACGAACTCATGTACAAATTCTCTTTTCATACCGACGCTGTTGCCGAAGCCGATGCCCCATCCTGTACAATAATAGTCATGATGTACTGATTCTGAGTCTCGAAGTCCAACGCGCCAATCACTTCAATACCGCCAGATGACGTGTCGTACACGAACAGGCTATCACCGGCCGAAGGGGACACTGGAACACAAACAAGCAAAACGTTAAAGATTCATTATTCAAACAGTTGAAATTATTTATTTTTACCCGTAAAAGTGTTGCCTAGTAAGACCGTTTTCCTCTATTCCACTTGCACTCTTTGCGAGGTTGATATGGTCAAATATACTGGGTCTACAAATTGGTATGCGTTTTCGATTTGTATTCGTTTTGCATATTTTTCACACCATAATTTTCCTAGAAGCAAATTTTCATTGTAGATATAGATAAGTCAGACAGACGAACCTGATGTTGTGTAAGTGAGCTGTCCGTCGGTCCCACTGTCGGGGTCGGTTGCCTGCACGGTACCGACCGTGTCTCCAATCCCGGCGTCTTCGTTTATCTGTGTTTAAAAAGGTGCAAAAACATGCAGTTACTATATATAGTCTAGGCGTGTCGTGCCAAGATGTCTGTTGCTTTTTTTTCTTCTAAAATGTCTTTCGTTAATTCTTGTACCATAACGGACAAAACAAGCAACCTTAATTAACGACGTCATCGGAGATATTTCCTCCAGAAGTGACGCTTACTTAGCTTCAATCCTGTCCAATGATGCATAATCAACATACAGGATAAACCTGTCAGTGAGTGCTTACCGAAAAGGTGGCATCAGATATAGTGGGTGCTGTGTTGGTGTCCGTCACGATGACGTTGATTGTGGCCGATCCGGTCAGTTCGGGTGTACCGCCGTCTTTTACCCTGGAAGTTCAGGAAAAAAAATCACATGAGTGCAACAGTCGACCTAGAGCCATAGTTTTGTCAGCTCTGCGCTTCTTATGGCCAGTGTGGTATAGAAGAAGATACATGACAGGAAATGATGAGGAAACTTTTGTACCACTTTGTTCCTCACTGCCGGCGAGGAGACAATTTGGCCCCGAACCTTACCTTCTTGTCAATCTGCACGGTTACAACATTTCCCATAACTTTCTGTCCACGCGTATCCAGAACCATACCTGGCAAATCTACGTTCTTGGATACGTGGAGACTATCCAGAACAGTGCCAGACCCCTACCCCAACACCAACCCTTCCCCATTCAGGCATAGAACAAGACAGGCACGGTTCTGGATACAATATGGTGTCCAGAACAGCCGACTGCTGCCCACCCCTGGGGCAGGGAAACCGGCAGCAGTATAATCTAAACCAGGATAGTGAGTGAGTGAGTGAATCGCTCATTCACGGAGGCAACAGACTTACTGCGGCACCACTACAGAGATAAGCGTTACCAGAGAGGTGAAACAAAGACACTTACTGCAGCACCTGCGTGTAAGACGACGGGTCCGTGCTGAGGTCGATGGTCGGTTATACAGAAAATCAGATACAGATGCTGGAGCGTTACGCTGAAATGTAGTTATACCGGCTACACAGATACAGTAGGTGGTGTGTTACGTATAAGGGTGGTTATACCAGCAGATACGAGTACTCAATGATAAATCCAAAGAAACAAAGACACTTACTGCAGCACCAGAGTGTAAGAGGACGGGTCCGTGCTGAGGTCTATGGTCGTTGCCAGCTCCACCACGGGACTAGCCGTGGTGTCTGTCCCCGTCTTGAGCTGGAACTTGCCGGCGCTGTTTCCCGTGAAGATGGTGGTGGTGAGGTTGTCTCCCGGCAGGTCGGCGTCGGCTGCCGCCAGCGTGGCGATCTCCGTGCCGACCGTGTCGCTCTCGAAGATCTGGGCGATGTACTGACCTGGTGACGAGATACACGGATCGTGAATATGCATCATAAGATTACTCTACAAACAGACCTGACTCGTGCCCTATGTGACAGTGACTGTTATTCTCTGCTAAGACTGTTTAGCCATAGAAAATGCTGTACGACTGATGCTGTGTAAATTCAGATTTTACCGTGGCCAATATTGACTGACGGAGGTTGTACATAGAATAAGCATCGAGTATTAGTTGAAGACAAGATTTGTTCACTGTTTCAGTGTGACAAAGCACCCTGGACTAGTCATAGAAGAATCATGCCAATGCCAACGACTGAGTGCTTTCACCCATACTGCTAGCTGCTCCAGTAAACATGTAACAAAGCTTCAAAATCAACAAGCGAGCAGTCAGTTTGACAGGTCACCTTCACAGCAGTGAAAATATATAATCGACTCGATGTAGATCAAAGGATTTCGATTAACTACAGTAAGAAGGAATAAAAGCTTGTCAGTATGATGTCTGTTTGTGATATAACTCACCTTTGTCAAAATACGGCGTGTTGTCGTTCTCGCCAGTGATGAACACGGTGAGCGTTGCCGTGGACACCAGCCCTCCACCGTCCGTAGCCGTGACGATGATGTTGTACTGGCTGTCATCCGACTCGAAGTCTGGCGGCCTGGCCAGGGTCAGCTGCCCGGTGGTACCGTCGTACACAAACAGGTCCGAGGTAGGCGACACTGGGAAAGGCATGGTTAGGTCAATATCAGCCGGGACGGGGGACGATATAGACCCACACTGGGAAAGACAACGTAATTTGAAGCTGGCTGCGATGAAGACTCACTGTTAAATACATATATATATATATATTTATATAATTTATATACTAGTATATCACTTTCTGTTTTTACTGTCCTTTCTGCTTTTGATAATTCAAATATCGATTGGGGCATTCCCACGAAGTTGTGTCATGATCATATGTTGTGCACATCCTGAGCCTATCAAATGCAAAGGGCCGGGCATGTTAGCGATATGTCAGAAAGAAGTTTCACGAGTGGTAACCGCCGATCAAAACTCGAGCAAATGACAGGTATTCTTACCAGTGTAAGAGTACGTGAGAGTCCCGAAGGAGCCGTAGTCGTTGTCAGTAGCTGTCTGTGTGTCGATGACAGTTCCGGCCGCAGTGTTCTCAGCCACCTGTGGGAAACACACAACACCGAAGGTGCAGTATAGGTCACATTCAGTTCCTTAATGAACTTGGAGATTGAAGTTAATTATAAAGCCATGAGCACGTCGCCAGCATAAACTATGATAATCCTAATAATTGCAGTAATGACGAATTGGAAAGTGCAAGATCATCCCACCAAAGCATTGTCAAAACTATAAATTATTCGTTATTTCTCCAGTTAAGTCTTTCATTCATAGTAATGGCAAAGTTATAACAATGATTGCCGATATCTATTTGGTCATGTACTCTATGTAGATTTGAAACATTTCAGAAATTAGGGTGTATACATGTGGTACTTACAATACTTGGGATGATAACCAAAGCAAATGCCGGCGTGTCGGAGTTGACCAGAGTGACGTCCACCCTGACCGTGGTCGTGCCGGTCAGCTCAGGTGACCCCCCGTCCGTGACCTGTACCCCCAGCAGGTAGGTCAGCGGGTCAAGGGTCAGGTCAAAGGTCGCGGCCAGCTGAATCTCGTCGTTGTTGGTACCGGCGATGGCGAACTTGCTGTTTGTGTTCCCGCTGACGATGGAATATGTGAGCGTGTCGCCCTCCCCCCCTTCCGTAGCTGCCAGGGTTCGGACAATTGTGTTGGCGGCGGCGGTTTCCAAGATGGCGTCCTCGTAGAGGGTCTGCGCGAAGGATGGGGCGACGTCGTTCACGTTGGCGACTAAGAGGGTTTGAGAGGCGCTGGCTGATAACGCTGATGGGTTGGTCCCACCATCCGTCACCTGGAAAGAAAGGAGCCCGTGATACAAGTGGAACACAGCAAAATGCTCCAGGTGTGGCGCACCACATATTTTTGTACCTACCGTATTTCAAAGCATTGCTTTTAACACTGTATTAACTGTATTTTTGCATCGTAAAAAACAACACATACTGTTACCCCAAGTCATAGACGATCATAGACGCCCGTTTTAACTACGCCATGCCACGTCATTGCTGTACGACATTCAGTGAGGCTCTATCTGACAGAACAAATATCATGCAAGTGCAGACAGCTTCCTTACCGTGATGGTGAGGGAGTACGTGGCGTATGTCTCTGCATCAAGCGAGTCGATCAGCACGACGACACCCGTGGAGGCCACGATGTCAAATTTGCTTGCACCGTCGTCTGTAAGGGAAAATCCGTTATTGTAGGAATTGTTCCTTTTCTTGCATGGAAGATTTTGAAGCTGTTTGATTCTAAATGCTACATAGTACAGGCTTGTTAATCTCCAAGCAGACATTTCGGTGGCTGCAAATACAGTATCAACTTGGCCAAGCAGTATCCATTTGCTAGACTGTTACCACCTCGCCGCCCAATGGCAACTGTCGGGTCAAATTGAGACTATATTTGAAGCTACCAAAAGACATGCTTGGAGATATAATAATAGGCTTGTGACGTTATACACTTACTGTCAACCGACAGAGAAAACGTCAGGTCCCCGTCTGTCCCTGCATCGTTGTCAGTGGCGGTGAAGTCCGATGCAGCGAGGATAGTCGTCCCGATAGCTGCGTCCTCAGAAATCGTGCCGACCGGAGATGCAATAGCAAGGTTCGGTGTGTTGTCATTGATACCAGTAATCTGTTGGGGTAGAAAATGTGCTCTAGTCATCTGAAAATTTTTGTTCAGAATTCAGCTTCTTCACCTTCTTCCTGTTACCATATCTGGCAACCAATGTGGAATTGATAGCCAAAAGGCTACGTCAGCGTGCTGATGGTTAAGATTCTAGAAGGCTTTGAAAGAGTCGGTCACATTGACAGGATATGGGAAAACATATGAAGAAGAATGAGAGGTCCTTTTGAGTTTGCATGCTTGATAGCTGCCTGCAAAAGTTGTCGCTCCATTGTCTTAAGTCTGAAGCCACATCTAGAATAGTCGTCGACTTCAAGACTAGGGACCTGATTGTTGTCCTAAAGAAAAATATCTGCCTGACTAAAACCAACAAGTACAAAGGACGTTTTTCTTTGCAAGTGTGTGAACGTTTCACTGACCTGTACGATAACCGTAGCTGTGACCGTGTTGGCTCCATCAGTCACCTCCACCTTAACATCATACTGGTAGTTGATGGAGGAGAGAGTGTCGTAGTCCAGGGCGACGGCTGTCTGCATCATCTCTGCGGTAGTTGCGTCCATCTCAAACTCAGGTGTGGTGCCGTCGACGCCACTGATGATGGTGTACACCAAGGTGTCCAAAGTGTCGGCGTCCGTGCACGCTAGTGTCGCCACGGACGTTCCTGGACGAAATTATGGATAGAGAGGGCTTAATTAGACAAATTGACAAACACAACAAGTCCACTAAAGTGCCGATTTTCGAACTTGACCTTGGTCTCCTCAATGGTAATCTGCCTGCCAAAAATCATAAACACTGATCCATACCCAAAGCGATTTCATAGCCTTCTGACGAAGCCAATAAAAAGTTTTCTGTGTGAAGGTCTCAATATTTGAACACAAAAGAACAAAGGAACAGCAAAAAATTCAGACATTAGGAAAATAATCCCACTATACCCGAAATAATGTTTAGACCTTAAAACCAGTTGAGTAAACGCTACGTGAACCCAATATGTTGATTTAGCCAGTGGTTTATTTGTAGGTATAGTCAAAGGGGGTGTGGTTTGACATCATCGACAGAAGTGAAGAATTATGTTTTTTTTTTCAAGTTACTGCATCCTTGTTCACGTCGAGAGAAGAAGAAGTAGTTGTAGAAGACCCTAAGAAAGTTTTTTTTTACCTGTTGCAGAGTTCTCTTGTACCGAGACGAAGTAGACGCTCGGGTTGCAGATTGGCGCGTTGTCGTTGGAGCCGTCAGCTACGATGACGGTCACGGTCAGGGTTCCAGTATTCCCTGCAGCGTCTGTAGCTGAGACGGTGATGGTGTGAGTACCGGCCTGCCCGGACAGAGACTGGGCCACGTTTATGCTGGTTGGGTTGGAGGCGTCTATGGCGTAGTAGCTGCTGTCTGCTCCTGCACCAACAGGTCAAGAAACACAGTTGTAAACTAGAAAGGTAACATTGACAAAGCAAATGCATAATGTTTACCTTCGCATATGGTCTGCTCTGTTAATTATTACTCAAACACATTCATATAAATGGTGACAGGAGATTAAATCCATCCTGCTATAACATTGCAACATGATGTAACCCAGCGCCAGTTACCATGGTGACAGACATCTGGTTCTGGTCATTGACCTTTGGTGTTTGGAACGGAAGAAGAGTAAACGGAGCAAAAACAATGTTTTCCTTTGATAGCATATTGACAAAAATAAACGATCAGCTACTCAGAATGTATCATATTCATTCTATGGTGCATGAACGTTGTAATGTTTGCTTTAGACAATAGTAAACCATGGCCACCTTTAGCATTGAAGAAGTTATTAAAAATGTCTCACCTGTTAGAGCATATGTTATGGTGTCCCCACTATCTCCATCAGTTGCTGCCAGCGTGCAGCCTGGAAGTGAGATCGCTGTCCCTACACTGACATCATCGGAAACGGAGCCCGTACAGGTTGCAGCGCCAAAAGTTGGAGATTGGTCATTGACGTCCACAATTGACACCGTCAGTGTAGACGTGGCAGTCAGAGGTGTGGCTCCGTCATCGGAAACCCTGGAAACAAAATCAACAGTTTTTATTTTTTTTTCCAACATTTCATGACCAAACGTGGCGACGACACACTCAAGTTATATCAACTTACTTTATGCCACCACCAACACGGAGTACAAATACAGGACAGGAAAACACTCATTCTCCCTTGAGTTAAGTGAGGAAAGTCGTGAAAAGTGCCTTTCCCAAGGGCACAAGATCTCTGGCATGTCAGGACTCGAACCCTGGACCTCTTGGTTCCGAGTCGAGCACTCTACCGCCACGCCACACGACCCCAAATCAACAATCATCAGCATTGCAATATTATCAACTGCCTTCAAACAAGAAGTCAAACCTCATAATAGCAAGCCAAATGACTATTCAATATACTTTGAGAGCCTGTAAAAAGTGATTGATATGTGGAATGGGACTTACTCGATGGTCAGCTCGTACGATGTTGTAGTTTCGTAATCCAGCGCGGCAATGGTCTCGACGTTCGTTCCGGAAATGGCGAACACGGTACTGGCAGGATCTGCAGAAGAGTTACATGCAAATGTTTTATTTCATTGAGCTGCAGAAAAAAAAACTCCGATAAAAAATTATGATCGCCTTCGTTACAACCCCGAGGTTATCAATCCCAAACCTTGGGATCAATCCGTTAATTTTCATATCAATATTTGAAGCATTCAGTGCACTTTGGTTGTCTTATTCTGTGTCCTTATAAAGTGTTTTTGTCCACAGTAAAATGCATGAAGTCTTCTGGCTAGAACTCACTTATCGCGTAAGACAGCGACTGCCCGTCATCTTCGTCGGTCGCTGCATTCAGCAGGGTAAAGATGACAGTACTGGGAGTTAGCGTCTCCTCGATCCGCACGGTTCGGGGCAGGGACAGCCATTGCGGCACCTACAAAACGACATACACATGTTTCCATTGTAACATTGTAACAGTCCATCCTATCAATACATGTAGACACAAATATGTTTTAACATAGAATTAACATTATACAAATACTTCAACTTTAGAATTTAGTGCACAGTAGTATACGCGGTGCTGGAACATGTTGGTGGAGCAAGCGGTACAATACATGTATCTTTAATCCTTGATGAAAGCTTTTTTTTCATACTACAGCCGGTTACCATGGTGACAGACGTCTGGTCTAGGTCAATGGCCATATGTATGTTTGGAACCGAAGAAGGAACAGAGAAAAAAACAGCATGCTTTCCATCTGCGAACTTCAAGGTAATGAAAATAAACAGTCCGTCACCTCGTTGACGTCGGCGATCAGAATCGTGACGTCGACTGTCGTAAAGCTGCCGTCGGTGTCATCTGCTCGGAGGGTTATGTCGTACTGGTCCACCTGCTCATGGTCCAACTTCGTCAGGGTGGACAGGTCAAGCGTCACCTGGAAGCAGAAACATGGTAGTTAGACACACACCACTGCGCTTTTACGACTATGTGACCTTTAGAAACGGAGATGGGCACAGCACTATAGACTAAAAGGTGCGGGAGGGATTTTAGCTAAAGGATTTCAAGCAGGCTGAAAGATACCTAAGCACCACAAGTTGTCGGCAAGAATCTAAGTATTAGAGAGGCCTCTCACTAGCAAGACAGCAACAGTTTGTACTACACATGCACACCTGACCCACCCCCAAAAACGTACCCCCAGTTTGCGATCATGAGACGGATGAAACTGGGTTCTACCTACTAAGTAAGCTTGGAGGGAAAAGTCGTACCTGGCCTGTTGCCACGTCAAGAATTTGGAAGGGTTGAGACGCCGGAAGAAATGGGTCGAAGGAGAACGTCAGAGTACCGCTGACTCCGGTGGTCGCTATGTCAGCTTGTGGAATAACAACGTCCCCGTCGGTAGCGTCTTCATTCACGTTGTAAGGCTGGCTTGTAACAGACAGGGTCGCGATGGCGTCTGTATAGGAGGCAATGGATGGATAAGAAACAGTAACTAATTTTCACACACACACACACACACACACACACACACACACACGCACACACACACACACACACACGCACGCACACACACACACACACGTATACACACACACTCACACACACACACACACAAACACACACACACGTACACACACAAACGTACACACACACACACACATATCTACAGGTTAGCCTGTGCTGTTCGTGTTGCTGTCAAGTCGTTAGAGCTAAAATGGAATAGTGACGACACCATGTTCTGCTTGTCACCAGCAGTAGACTCGCCCGATAACTACGTCATCCCTTAGCAACCGCAAAACTGGGCGTGGGCAACCTACGTCACCCCCTAACAACCACAAGATAGGGCGTAGGAGACAACGTCACTCCTTAGCAACCACGAGTCTGGGCGTGGGCACCCCACGTCACTCCCTAGCAACCAGTCCATAAGACTGGATGTATGCACACTACGTCACCACATAGCAACCATCTGCCTGTATGTTATGACAGCTTCAGCAATGGTCTGTATTGACAGCGCCCAAACTGTTGCCCTTTTGAGCCGTCGTGTTTGTGTAGCTAACAGAGCGCTCTCCGTGGAGGGTAGACAAACACGCCGAGGCGCGGTTACATTGTAGACCTTCCCCGCAAGTCCAAACAGTCCTGTCACGGGGAAGTGACAGCCAAAAGTCTCGCCACAAATTAGCCGTGAAATTAGGGAGCGTTCTTAAAAAGGCGGCTCTTCGTCAATAGCTAGGGACATTGGGGGAAAGAACTAGAAAGTCTTTTAAGGCCCCCCATTAAAATGTTGACAAAGCTTTTTAAATTTTTCTTCTTCTTCTCACAATACATAATTGGGCATATGACACACCAGTTTTCGCATCTACAGGCAAAAAACACACATTTTCTAGTTTCCTGATTTCCTCCTAACCATCAACATTTTGGCGTCCTTCGTTGTGCTGTCAGGACGCATATGTGTCATATTTGTCTCTGACAGGTTTGACAAATTAATGAGACAGTTATGACTGAAATATAAGGCTTATTCGGTGTAATAAGACTGATTGAATCCCCTCTATAAATTATTTACATCTAAGAAAATAATTAAGTCCCCTTTTCCACTGACGGCAATAGTTGAGTGATCAAAATTTGATTTGTGTGACTCTTGGTTTCATGATTTGAATAAGATTAAGGATGTAAAGATTGGATTTAAAGGGCAACAAAACACACAATATGTAATGGAAATTCGTCTATGAAATTCGTTTTTCGATGTTTGATAGCTCAGCTCTAGAAGAAAGAGTGTAGGTAACGAATGTTTTGTGGATTTTGTAATCAAGAAAACCAGGATATAAAAGACGTCGACAGCAGTTTGAAACTGCGATAATTGCTTCCTGTCTACACCCTCGAGGACTGACATTTCATTTGCTACACATGTCTATAAACCCACTTGGACCTATTTGAACACTTATAGCTGTCATAAAGCAACGAAACTTGCCACCAATGTTTTTACTTGTCTTGAAGTTCATTTATGACCTAGTTATATCAGTTAATATGTGATCGTTACATCGTTACATCCATTGGTGAATTCTAGGTACTAAAACTAACATGACCTTAATAATTACATTTCGTTAACGATTTGAGTACATGGATTGTTTTTAAACTTTTTCATTACTTTAATTTCCTTGTTATAAGACTGTCCAGTCTAAAAACATGCCAAAATATACGCCTTCCCTTGAGGTGTTATCCACGGGATAAAATCGGTACTTTATGCTTACGATGGTCAGAGACGGGCTCTTGTTCTTAATGGTTATTCAAGACAGTTACATGTGCACCACGGTTAACCTATAGCGGATAACCTAGAGTAAATTTTAGAACAAATGTGTTCCTTGTTTCCCGATTTTCGTCTCTCGTGGGTTCGAGGCACGGGCCGGCGGTATCGTTGTGTTACTTCTTGGAACACTCAAGTACAGTTGTGTTACTTCGTGGAACACTCATGTGCAGTTCGTAACAAAGTTGGACCCGTTTAGAATGTAAAAATCACAGTTTTCTCTGTGGTTTGCAATCTTTTTGTCCTGAACTAACATAGCAAACGAGATCGCCGTGAACACAACTACAGCGGTTTGTGGCAGAATTGGAACCGTTTTGAACTTACACACCACAGTTTCTGTAACTTGAATTTCCACTGGTCATTACTTATCCTGATGAAGGCGACAGTCGTCGTTGAAAATTTGATCCTTGTGTTGGAAGAAAGTTCTGCATTTTTACTACCAGATTTCTAATCTGTGGTTTGTAAATTTTGTCCTGAACCAACTTAGCAAAAGGCATCGCCGCGTTAACACAACTACTTAGACAAACATCGGTCGGGGCTCTTTCAGACCTTGATCCCATCGAACAAAACGGCCACCTGTTTCCGTCAGATTTACCACGGCGCATTTTATACTACCCTGTTTTGATATCGTTACAAAATAACACTATCATAAACTAACATGAAAAACCATGAACCAAAACTGATGTAAAATAGTAGCCTCTGCCAAGCTTCGGGAGGCGGCTGGAAAGAGCAGAAATTGGCCAGAGAGATAACATGCCGAGGGAGTTGGTCCGCTGGAGAGTACGTACAGTTTGTTCCAGCGGACCAACTCCCCTGGCATGTTATCTCTCTATTTGGCCGATTTCTACTCTTCCCAGTCGCCTCCTGAAGCCTGGTAGAGGCTAGTAAAATAACTAGTAAAATAGCTTACCTGTCGACTGGATCAGTACGCACACGAGAAAAATCTGAGCGTAGAGCGCGATGCCTCTTTTCCCGTCCATCTTTTTCCTCCTCTCGCTACGATTTGTGGCTCTGACGACGTTTCGTCGCTTTTGTGATCACAGAAAACCCTTTCACTCTCCACCTGTTGATTCTGTCCCCGCTAATATTCACCCGACGTATGACTAAAACGCCGGCGTCGCTGTGAAAATATTTCCCTACGCTTTAGGTCCACTCCGCACGATTCAACGATTCTGGTGGGGTCTGTGCGGTATGTCACGCCCTGCCTGTGTCAACTGGTGCGTCGTTCTGCTCAGCTTCGCGTGAAAAGAGCCTCCAACATTGCGCTGTATTGAGACATCCCCTACACACACTGCAATGCCACAAAGGCAGCCCTTTTACTGTGTATTCGTCTCGGTATGGCGCGATGGTAGCCTGGTTTCTAGTGGGCGTGACCACAGCGTGACTCACCCTGTAAAATTATCTCGCTTTGAAGTGGACGAGAAGTTGTTTTTACCCATGTTTACTTTGCAAACAGTACCGGAGTTTATAATAGTAATAAAAATAGCCAAGTACGGTAATATTGGACAGAACAATAGTAGTAAATTAAATCAAAGACATGACTTTTAATTATTAACTTTGTAGAGTCCGATACTGTTTACAAAGTAAAAGTTACCATTGGTAAATACAACTGTCCTTGGAGTGTTCTAGCCGCCAACTATTAAACCCTACCACCTGCAGTATTCGTGAATCTTTTCATCTTGGCATTTCACTCCTTAATGCTACCACATGTACTGAAAATATTCTAATAATAGCTTCGTTACTGACAATTAGTAATCATATCCTATAAATAAATTCATATTTGTGTGATCTGTCCTTGATCATTTTAAAATTTCTTGTGACCATCTCGTATAGAACGTAACGTCCGTTACGGCTTATTGAAGTCAATACGACTCTTCTCCTTTTTGTCCTACTCCTGTTTCTGGAAAGCAAGTAGAACTTCCTCTTTCCGTGCTTTCTATCAAAATTCCTTCCTACAGTCTTTCATTCAACGTAAGATCCGTGACGACATATTTAAGTCGACACGTCCCTTCCTTTTCCTTTCCTCTTCCTTCTCAATCTACAGGACTTCCTCTTTAAATTCTGGCCTTTCCTTGTCTAAATATTTATCTATTCTAAATGTTATTGCTAGAATCCTACATTACACCAATAATTGTAAAAACACATTGCTACATAGCCTTGTGTTGAGTACATAGGTCTCGTGGTATATTTGTTGTCCTATAGAAGTAGATGTCATACGTTTTCTTCTATTCAAAACAGAGATACAAACACTGGTATATGATTAATCGCTCTTGGAACAAAAGACCCTAGCCAGGCTATTCTGTACAGTACATGTACGTTCAAACGACCCATCCTGTGTGCCCTTAGTCCCAATATTCAGGATAGAATAGGAGTACAGGGCACAAGAGCAGTGTTGTTGACTAATGCCCAGTTTGACTCGGTATCTGACGTGTACGTTTACTCGCTGTCTCCAGGAGATTCTCTCTGCCCTGTCGCACATGTCACACGGAGGTGACCAAATAAGAGGCAATGCCCAACCCTTCCTAGCCTGGTTACCAGACTCCCCTCTAGGAAGGTCCAAGGGCAGAGGCAAACTTTTCACGGGAATCCGGGCCTGTGTGGGCCCTAACAACAGTCTGCATTCACGGTTAAACCTTTCCCACTAAACTCCTCTCCAACCAAGAGGCAAGAGCCTATCTAGTCCTACACTCGAATGGGTTAGCGTTGGGATCAGCAACTGTTCTGGATACGTTCCGCGTATCCAAGAACGTAGATATGTCGCAGACACGGTTCTGGATACGCGTGGGCTATCCAGAACCGTGGACAAGGTTCTGGATAAAGCACGGTTCTGGATGGACTATCCAGAACAGTGCTTGAGCATGGTTCCCACAAAGAACGGTTCTCGATACAACAAATGCCCTGCCCCTACCCACTATACGACGACCCCTGCCCAGTAGTACACACTGTACTGCTAGCCTTTACCAGGCTTCAGCAGGCGGCAAAACGCACTCTAGCGAACCAACTCCCAGCTGGCATGTTATATCTCTATGTGGTCAATTTTAACTCTTTCAGCCGCATCCCAAAGCCTGGTAATAGAGGCTAACATACTGCCTCCTGTGGGACCTGCCAACTTTGTTCTTAAGGGACCGTGACCGTACCATTTAAGGGCGCCGTGGTGACACCATACCACAGAGTCAAACACAAACATGGATGAACAACGGAAGACCCTCAATTTCCCATTAAGAGTCATGGCTGCTGCAATGCCAAAGGCAAGTCTTTTTATGTTCGTCTGCATGCTTCCTCAGATGTCAGAACCGCACCAATGTGTGCATGTTGGCCCTTCAGACAGACTATCAAATTACATGATAAATTGATGAACACATGGCAACTGTTTGTGCATACAAAGAGGGTGGAAGCTTTCGTTGTTGGACCAGACAGGTTGCGTCATCAATGTACTCACTTTGTGAGTTAGTCGTGGGTTGACAGAGCCATTCAAACGTAGAAAACGAAAACTTCCTCTATGTATACAACTGGCCTACACAACAAGGGATGGGCCCCAGTAGCTACAGCACACAAATAGTAAAGGGTAATATTTGTGTTCACAAAGGACACACATTCCGGGCCATATCTACACCTCTCTACACACACACACACACACACACACACACACACACACACACACACACACACACACCTCTGCTTCACCTGTCTGCTTCATTCACACAGTAGCTGAGCTTCATTCACATGCCTTTCATGTCAAACCTAAATGTAGTCTTCATTTGACAAAAACTTACAATATACGAGGCCGTAAACAACCTCGTGCAAATTGAACTGTCTTCAATTATGCGGAGTCCTTATGATTATTTAATAAATAACTCTTCTAAAATGTACAATCGATGCCACGCTATCTCTACTCTATTGCATTACGGCACTGTATTTGTCCCAGGGGTCCTCTCTAGCGAGTACGGCTATTCATAATTTATGCTTCTCGCAACTCGGAAGCCATTTTGTCCGTCTACTCAAGAAGATAGTTATCTGCTCTATTTTAAGTGCCAACCACCAGGGTTTCGGCTGCAGTCCTCTCCTTGGTGCTGATCTTACATCATTTCCAGTTTATACAAAACCATCGTTCTTGGCGTTAAGATATATCCACTGAATAAAGCTAGTCTCTACCAGACTAACTACGCTGGCTATATGTAGGGGAATTTGCCAGCTAGGGGATCTTGGCCGCCTTGGGGGTTTGACTTGCCGCGCAGTTTTCGGAGGGAAAGAACCAACCTTCCGTGGACGGACTCCCCTGGTCAATTTTACTCTCCTTTTTGCCGAATTCTACAATCCGCCTCCCCGTAGAGAGGCCTGATGGAGATTAGAATAAAGCTACGTTCGATGGGATACAAACACGTGCAGATATATCCCGTCTATACAAGTCATCAAACAACATTATCCAATCTGTTCTTAAATCTGAAGTGATATTCCGTAGCAGATTCTTTCGCAATAACTGGGCCCGTCTGTACATATAGTTATATTATTATTTTACTGATGTTATTGTGTGTGTATTTTATATGTATGTTGTGTATGGGCGACTTATGCCTGAAATAAAGAAATAAAGAAAGATGTCTATACCGTGGCCGTAGAGCAAAGTTGTGTTGAAAATCTTCGGGTGTAGAATCAGTACACACTCACACTACCGTTTCCATCAGCACGAGGTTGTTGTTCTTCATGTTGCTGTCGTTGTTATTATTATTGTTGCTGTTTGTGACAGGCCACGCGTACCCCTTTACAACAGCCAGCAAGTTTGGCTCAACCGAAAAAAACGCGTTCTCCTTCAAGTTCCTTGTTGGCTTGATCGTTGTGTCAGACTCATGATCAGGATCCAAGACGATGTGGTCATCCTCTTGTGGCTCCTTCGAAGGGATGTTGAGGAGGTACCAGAACAGTCCGAAGCCAAGAGCGAGGAACAGTACGTGCCCACCGACCAGACAGAGGAGGACCGAGCCGCCGAACTTTCCCGCCAAACCGGCGGCGAAGCAGGCCAGCCCTGCCATTGCCGTGACGGCTGAAATAATCAGGCACGCGGGGAACTCGCTGTTCCTTCTCATGGTGTCTGCGTTGTGTGCGTCACACGGCAACAAATCGGAGATATTCTTCGGGAATTCGCTAGCTAGCCTGGTATCTCATCGTAGCTGCATCGTATGGGCCCCCGTCAAACGAGTCTTACGGCAGCAAATTGAGGATATTCTTCGGGAACCCGCTAAGCCTACCTGGTAGTCAGGCCGTCGTAGGCTCTCTGGTATCTCTACGGTGCTGAGAGTACTGCCCGCCCGCCCTGGGCGCTGTTCCTTCTCATCGAAGCTGCGTTAATTGTAAGCGCTCCCGTCAAACGAGTCTTACGGTAGCAAATTGAGGATAGTCTTCGTAGAACCGTTAGTCTGGCAGCTAGACCACACGAGTCTTACGGCAGCAAAGTGGCGATATTCTTCGGAAATCAGCTAGCCTGCCTAGTAGTCAGATCATCGTAGGTTCGTTGGTATCTCTACGGTCCTGAGGGTACTGTCCGTCCGCCAAGATCCATCAGTGCACGCCGGGCTTTTACGGATCGGTTTCAATTAGTTCGCCTACGGGACAGCACTACCCAGAAAGGCCGCCTGGAAGCTTAACGACCGACTGCCCAAACCTGGGGCTGACACACTCCAAAGCCGGCCCGTATACTTTACAGAATGGTTACCAGATAGACAACCGTGGTCGCGTAGTAGAGAATTCAGCTGTCTTATGACGGACTAGGCTAGCATGGGTGCCAGACCCATAGCACACTGGACAAAATTCTCAGTGAGCACGGACCAATGGTGGTGCCATGTAACAGGCTACCTGTGGTGTGAGGGGCTATCACAGCTTCTCCTCCCTATGCCGGAGGGCCTTTCCTATGTCTTCCTACCGGACCCATGCTCACTGAGATACTTTGTGTCCAGTGTGCTATGGGTTTGGCACCCAGACTAGGACTAGGTGGGCTATAGATCATTATCGACAGGAGAAAAACAAGCTCCGACCGTCGTATGCGGTAGCGATTAAAGAGGCCAGATATAGATACCATCTTAGACGGAGAGGAAGTCGGTATCACCAAATCTTATTCAATTATAGAGGCAAACTGCTGCTGCCTATCTGGTCAATGCAATTACAAAGGGCAAAAGGTGAAACAGGCAAAAACACATTTTTAAGTACAGGGCAGCAAACCCCCCCCACACACACACACACAATCTCAACGCTTGCAAAACGCGGGGAATTTCATGCATCCTTCATTGCATACAGAAAAGGAATCAAACCCAACAACAATTATATCAGAAGTACCGTTAGTTGAGGATTCTCAATCTACTTGATGTTCATTTTATTCTTTACTATATATACATTGATGAAGGTTAGACATCAAGGTAAACAATACTCTACTACTGGATAAATTACGCGTACGGACATGATTTCCGGACGTTTTGAGTGACATCCACCTATAATTTATAATGTACTTGCATTTAGCCCACAGGCATGAATTTGCAATTAAGTTATCATTACAGTTGTCATTATCATTATTATTACATTCAGGTAGGTGAGACTTTTGAGCTGCTCTGTTCCAACACATTGGGTTTTACGGTGACCACTTCATGGACTTTCTTGTGCCGGACTAGGACATATCTACGAGCCGTCCCGAAGCCACACTCACCACAGATGTAAGGCTGCTCACCCGTGTGTTTTGTCATGTGTTCATCCAAGGAGGACTTTCTTGATGCAGAGTACTCACACAGACAACACTTGTAGGGTTTTTCTCCTGTGTGGGTTTTCATGTGTCTGGATAGGGAGGACCTATCATCAGTTCTGTAAACACATTCTTTGCACGTGTAGGGTTTCTCACCAGTGTGTTTTATTAGGTGGTCATCCAAGGCAGTTTTCTGTGCTGCAGAATAGTCACACTGGTCACACTTGTAGGGCTTCTCTCCTGTGTGGGTCTTGATGTGTCGGGACATGTGGGATTTTTTGGCCGTCCGATAGTCGCATTCCTTACAAATGTAGGGCTTCTCACCGGTGTGCTTTGCTAGATGCTTGTCCAAAGAAGTTTTCTTTGCAGTAGAATAATCACACTGATCACATTTGTAAGGTTTCTCCTTTGATTTTGTATGCAAAGGAATAGGAATATGCATATGTTCATCTAAGTATGATTTTTGAGCTGCTTCGTATCCCAAGTCTGCAAACATGTAGTGGCTTGCTGTGTGTTGATCAAAATCAGACTTTTGCAATGCAGAAAAGTCACACAGATCACACTTGTAAAGTTTTTCTCCTGTGTGGGTTCTTATATGTCTGGATAGGTTAGATTTTATAGCTGTACTGTACCCACACTCCCAGCAAATGTATGGTTTCTCACCGGTGTGGTTTGCTAGATGAATGTCCAAATTGTATTTCTGTGCTGCAGAATAGTCGCAATGATCACACTTGTAGGGTTTCTCCTCTGCATGAATTCTCCTATGTCTTGACAAGTCAGCCTTTTTAGCAGTCCTGTACCCACACTCCCCACACATGTAGGGTTTCTCGCCGGTGTGCTTTGCCATGTGAAAGTTCAAACTGGCCTTCACTGCAGCAGAATAGTCACATTGGTCACACTTGTAGGGCTTTTTCCCAGTGTGAGTTTTCATGTGTCGGGACAGGGTGGACCTATCACCCGTGCTGTACCCACACTCCTCACACACATGGCGTTTTTCACCCGTGTGTCTCGCTACGTGGCTGTTCAGGGCAGATTTCTGTGCAGCAGAATAATCGCACTGGTCACACTTGTAGGGCTTTTCCCCAGTATGGGTTCTCTTGTGTAGGCGTAAGGCCTGTCTATGGCGAGTCCTGTACCCACACTCCCCACACATGTAGGGTTTCTCAGTACTGGGTTCAGGCATTTGACTTACCATCTCTTCTACATGTGATGATGATGTAATGTCAGTGTCCTCGCATGACCCTTGTTCTTCCCTGTCTATGGTCTCCTTCCCAGGGTGTCCAGGACTGCTGTTGGTCTCATTCCCAGGGTCTCCGGGATGCAAAAATTCAGTAGAATTTTCACCGCTGGGATCTTCCATCTCTTTTCTGTTGTGGAAAAATAATGCAAATGACGGAGAGGGAAAAAGCCCTACTTGATGGGTAGTTATGTAATTATAGAATAAACTGAATAAAACGTAATAAAAAAACAACAACAAAAAAAAATAGGCACAGAAAAACACTGTGCCCAGCTCTTTAAATGGCAATTTGCAGCACTTTGGTTGGTTTGGGAGAATAATTTATACGCCTTAGACATCATTGAATTTCCTATATTTTATATAGAGAATCATTTTTTAAAAGTAACTACACAAGAGAGAGCTCCCATACATATTATAATTGTACCTGTGTATTCACCTCAGGTAAAATCTATCAGTACCAGACTTCTATAACATATTATACAACATTGTCCACACATTTAGCTGTGTACACAATATTTCATGACGTAACTATGGCAAGTTTGCTGCCATTCTGGAGATCTGTACATACACACAGATCTCTGCCCCCCTCCCCATCCACCCTCAATAGACCGAACACTGTCTGAACGATAAAATGGTGGCTTGCGCTTCCACTGTTTAATAAATGTTTAGTCACTTAGATAAGAGGTTTATAAGGCGTTCAGTACTCTTACCTCGTCTGTGTTGTGTAGAAATATCGCTCAAATCTTGTTCTACTGGAGAGATACAAAGCAGAGAGCACCAAAATGGCGAACAGCGATCTGGGGTCACACGGGCGGTCAAAGGTCAAAGTTTGCAAACCTGATTACCCAATTCCTGTGGTTGTGAAGTTGGTTGCTTTGTTTGAGCACAGGAAAAAAACGTGTACGAGTAGCTAAAATATTGTGATCTCTTTGGGGTTATCTTTACTTCACATTCAGCTCTCCACTTTCTTGGGTTGGGAACATCTAGTGTTTTTAACATTTATCCATACGTGCATGAATAAAAACTTTTGACTCTATTGTCAATCCTATCAAAATGAGCAAAAATGCACACGGTGACACAAACTGAATTCTAGCAATGTATTTTTTGTCAGGTAAGGGATCATATAAATACTCTCAAAGACGAAAAATGGACATAAAAGCATCATCTAAGCTCCTTGGAATACTTAAACCACATCAATTCCATACCATGCACTTCACATTACTTATACCTCAGGGCTCAAAAATATTTCTTCTGCATACTTACACTGCTGCACTGCACCTGACAAATTTTACCTGCACCACTCAGAAATAAGGAAATATTAATCATACTAAAACCTGTTCATAAACCACTAACATTATTATTTGTTTGATACTTTATAGGTGACAACAGTCAATACAGCTAATAAAAATCCACATACACCTTAATGTACATGTAAATATCAGAAGTACCCGCACAGCTCCAATTTTACCTGCACTAACCTGCATATGATATGAATTCACAAATGCTCCAATAGTTGCACGTGGATAGATGGGGCTTAGTAATTGTCCTGTATACCCACACTCCCTCACACATGTAATACTTTTGCTATGACTTATATTATACTTTACGTACAAAATCTATTTTCTTCCGTGTTACAGTCACATTGATCACATTTGTTCGGTTTTCATATTGTCTGGGTTCTCATATATCGCGATTGGGCAAGCTTCTGATGTGTCCATGTCCACCACTTCCCAGACGTGTACATTATCAGTAGTATGCTTTGTTAAATGCCTGTCCAAGTGAGATTTCCTTGCTGCGGAATAATCGCACTGATCACACTTGTGAGGTTTCTCCCCAGTGTGAGTCTTCTGATGCTTGGACAAGTTAGATTTTCCAGCTGTCCTAAAACCACACTCCCCACATACATAACGTTTCTCACCAGTGTGTTTTGCTAGATGGGTGTCCAAGCTAGCCTTCTGCATTGCAGAATAGTCACACTGGTCACATTTGTAGGGTTTGTTGCCAGTGTGGGTTCTCTGATGTTTGGATAAGTTGGACCTTTCAGCTGTTCTGTAGCCACACTCCACACATATGTAACGTTTCTCGCCAGTGTGTCTCGCTAAATGGGAGTCTAAACTGGATTTCCGTAATGCAGTGTAGTCGCAGTAATCGCAACTGTGCGGTTTCTCTCCTGTGTGAGTCTTGAAGTGCTGGGAGAGGAACGATTTGTCACCTGTCCTCAATCCGCACTCCTCGCATGCAAAGGGTTTCTCACCGGTGTGGGTCACAAGATGGCGGTCCAAATGGGACTTCCGTAATGCAGAATAGTCGCACTGTTCGCACTTGTGTGGTTTTTCTCCTGTGTGGGTCTTCATGTGTTGGAATAAGTTAGACTTTAGAGCTGCTCTGTACCCGCATTCCCCACATACGAAAGGTTTTTCGTCTGTGTGAGTTGTCAAGTGATCGTTCAAATGGGTTTTTCTAACAGCGCTATAGTCACACTGGTCGCACTTGTAGGGTTTTTCACCGGTGTGTTTTGCTAGATGGTTGTCCAGAGAGAGTTTATGTGCTGCAGAATAGTCGCACTGGTCACACTTGTAGGGTTTCTCACCGGTGTGTGTTGCTAGATGGCTGTCCAAATGCGATTTTCGTGCTCCAGAATAGTCACACTGGTCACACTTGTAGGGCTTTTCTCCTGTATGGATGTTCATATGTATGGTTAAGTTAGACTTGAGAGCTGTCTTGTACCCACATTCACTGCACATGTAAGGTTTTTCTCCAGTGTGTCTTGCCATGTGCGCATAAAAACGGGCCTTCGTTACAGCACTATATTCGCACTGGTCACACTTGTAGGGTCTGTCTCCACTGTGGGTTGTCTTATGCCGTGAGAGCAGATATTTCCGCCCTGTTGAGTACCCGCACTCTATACAAATGTAGGGCCGCTCCCCAGTGTGTTTTCTTATGTGCTTGTCCAACGTGGTTTGCGTAATCGTTGAAAATTCGCAGAGGTTACACTTGTAAGGGTTTTCCCTTGAGTGTGTTTTCAAATGTTGGGATAAGCTCGACTTTGTGGCTAATCTGTACCCGCATTCGCCACATTTGAAGGGCTTTTTACCTGTGTGGGTTGTCATGTGGTCGTTCAAATGTGATTTTCTAACAGCGCTATAGTCACAGTGGTCACACTTAAAGGGTTTATCACCAGTGTGTTTTGTTAGATGGTTGTCTAGGGAAAGTTTATGTGCTGTAGAAAAGTCGCACTGGTCACACTTGTAGGGTTTTTCACCCGTGTGGATTCTCATATGCCGGGATAGCTTGTCGCTTCGAATTGTCCTGTATCCACACTCTGTGCAACCGAAAGGTTTCTCTCCAGTGTGCTTTGCCATATGGGTGGTCAACGTCTTTTTCTCTGCTGCAGAATAGTCGCACTGGTCACACTTGTAGGGCTTCAGCCCTGTGTGCAGCCGCTTGTGTATGGATAGGCGGGACCTCCAAGCTGTCCTAAACCCACACTCATCGCAAATGAATCGTTTCTCGCCGGCGTGTCTTGCTTGATGTTCGTCAAGAAGGGACTTCTTTGCTGCAGTGAAGTGGCACTGATCACACTTGAAGGGTTTTTCCTCTGTGTGGGTGCTCTTGTCTTGAAGTAGGTCTTCACTGATATGTTGTAGATTTGAGGAGGAGGATTCAGTCTTCTCTTCTTCTTTCATCTTCTTCTTTTCTTTCTCTGTATTGAGTTCAGGCATGTGACTCTCCACCTGTTCTACATGTGATGCTGGTGTTTTGTCAGTGTCCTCGCATGACCCTTGATCTTCCCTGTCCCGCTGCAGGCCTGTGTCTGTTGTCTCCTTCCCAGGGTGTCCAGGACTGCTATTGACCTCAGAAAAGTGTCCCAAGCTGGAATTATCCATGATGGCTTAAAGCTGTTAGAAGAGAAACAAATGGCATGGTTATATCATGTGGACTGAAGTGAAAAGCAATGTACCAGTATTCATTTCTGTTTTTGGGTAATTCATTGTATTGGCAATACAGGTGTCTTTTTTTTTTTCACACAACCGCTGATTACTGTAATAATTCTGTACCCAGTCCTTCATAATATGATTTATTTATTCACTTAGTTCCCTAAATAATGTCCTTGATCAAATATATAAATTCAAAGTTCAGTTTAGTTCATCCTGAGTGAGGTGACACCAGTTTTCCCACAAGTCCAGTCAAGCATGACAGAACAATGACAGAGCTTTTCATCCTGAAGACCAACATTATCCTAAATTACTTGCAGTGGCGTCAAACACTTGGGACAAAAAGATATTTACAAGGTCACGACGTTGTTTACAAGAGGATATGTCAGTACTAAATTAAATATTTATATGATATAGCTACGTGATGTATTACTTTACATGTAAAAAATTTTCAGGGCGTTGCCCCCCTCCCCCACCAAAACAACACCGATATCTTGTTATCGCCACTTTACTACAACACTTTCAAGGCTGACGCAAAGAAATGCACTTCCTGATTAGTTAAAAAAAGGTTACCTTGTTCCAGTTGCCTCGAAATATGCTGAAAATCGCGTCGGTTTGGTGAAACAGCGCACACAAAAATGGCTGTCCAAGTCTCCCTTTTCCAGGTCAAGGGTGTGTGAGAGGTCAAAGTTCGCGAACCTGATTACCCACTTGATGTACATGTTGACCGTTAAACGATTACGTACTACATTCTGGGGATATTACAGCTATTGTCCAGCCCTAGATTGCTAATTATCAAAAGAGTAAAAGCTTAATCTAGGGCCATAATGTTTTAAGTACATGTTTATGTTGTTCCTACATTCTTTATTTAGATTAACCACCCGATTCACCTCTAATAATCTTGTATACGTTGAAACACTAGTTTATTGCCATGTACAACAAATTTTGGATTATTTTTCTTTCACACCAGAAAGACAGAAGCTACAGATATTCAATAAGGAGTCTTTTATTACCTTTCATCACACATCAAAACATGTACAAACAGTGTGGTCAAAGAAAAGCAATTATAAGCTTCGTTTCTTGAACAGGTCACAAAATTATATACACACAATACTTGTCAAGTTGCACCCATAAAAACATCTTCCAGAAAATATAGCTTTTTGGCAGGTAGATTTTTGCTCCAGGCACTTCATACTATCTGTCACAATTTCTAACTTCTGATTGTTGAAAATATGTTAGTCAACATACTATGTACATGTAGGATAAAATCGTTCTGATTATTAAACAAGACTATGTACAGTCTAAATACTTTAAAAATCACTTGTCTTCCATTTGTACAACTATATAATGTTTATATAAGGTTTGATTGTCAAGATTAAAAGGCACCTTGCTCCTTGTGAGCAATTCCACATCTAAGACATATAAAAATCCATCGTTTGTCTCATTTTGACAAGAGAATTCAAACAGAAATTAGTGGTGCATTGGTCTAAAGATAGTTTGTAATACATTACACATCATGTAAAACACCAACAATAACATTTATCATTGGTAGCAAGATAGCGTATTGTGACCATGTACCAATTATCGACTAACAATGTGTAACTCAAATTAGTGAACAGCTATTTTCAGATCAGAAATAGAATGATAAAGCATACAGTATATTTTTATATATATACCTAATATACATAGATATACCTATTATTCTTTGAAGCACATAGATCTGTAGTGCTTTTAGCATGCCAAAGTGCAGAATTTTGTTCAAGAAAAGATTTACAGCAAAAAAACATGTCCATGGCACACTTACAGTAACTGTGAACACAAAGACTAGTAAAGATAAACCTTGTTAAAGAAATGAGTAGGTTTTGACCAAATGTTGCAGCATATTGCAAGGATACATGTACATGTAACTTTCCTAACATGAACATAAAATTACTAATAATTAACTGTAGACAATAATTTTTGGGATAACTCAATGACTTCCTTCATTGTTCTTTAAAACAAAAAAGGCAGTGTCTGCAATCCTCCCACCAGTTTCAAAGCAAAAAGAAACACAAGGAATGCTATTGACAGACAAGTCATGCATAGCAAAGTTTCTGAAACTGTCTGACAGTTACGAGTAAATACATTGGCTTGACCTATGTAATGCTTATACGTATTATCAAATAGTGCTATAAGTTACATTCTTTCAAATCAGGCCATCAAAGTATTGTGTAGGGCAGCATTGAAATCAGATAATTACAGTAACAGTGTAGCAGTTGCAAATAAAATCTTCTTACAAATGTCAAAAAAGCTAGACAACTTGAATGTTTCTCAATTTAAAAGTAAAAGAATCTTAAAAAGAATTGTTGGACCTGGTCACAAGCCTACACTTAGGCCTTGATTGTCTTGATATGCAGCACAAGATACTGTATGCAAAAGCCGTGTACATGTGCATAGCAAAATTCCACCATCAATTCTCACACAGAAAATGTGGCTTTTATACAGAAACGTGATGGAAAAGTGTTCAAGATTGACTAGTTTTCTGGTGGGATGGAGCGTGACACTCTTTACGTCTTTGACGTGGAAATAAGTTGCAGCACAATTGAGACAGTCCATGTCTTTTCACTGAAGAGAAGAAAACAATACAGCACAAAATGTACACCATATTCCAAAACTTTTCCTTGCAAACCCATTTCTGAATGCCTATTGCTTGCAATAAAATCGGGTACAGGTTGCTGAATGAGTTTGGATGACATGTGTTGCCCCAGGCACTGCTGCTCTGAGTTTAAACATAATTTTACAGAATGGACGAACATTGGTTGGCGTAAAAATAAAGTTCAGCATGATTTTACAGAACGGATGACTCCTATATTAGCCAGGTAAGCATCTTCACCATCCATCGTTGACAGAGTTCGGGTGTGATGTGTTGTTGTCCCAGGCGCTACTGGGCACCCTGGGCGGCGGGCTTTCGTTGTTGTGGCCATTTGGCGTTGTTTTTGCGGCGGCGGCAGCTTTTCTGTCAGCCTGAGCCTTCTTCTGTTTCGCCCGCGTGGGGTCTGTTGTTCCCTGGAGCTCGTACACTCGCTGTAGGAGGAAGTGCTTGTCTTTCCCTTCCTGTAAGGCAGGTGAGAATGGAAAAGGTGAGAAAAGGACAAGTGTACTAAAAACTAGACCTGAACTCTAACCTCACCCTACAAATGGACTGGAATATGAACTATGAATACTACAATGTTCTGTACTTGTATAATACAGTGTAATTGTTATGTATACAATACAAGTATGTTTTCCCGGGTCTAACTGTACAGCTGAGTGCTATGGCACTGAGATACCTGGAATACCTCCCACCTTGCAAAAGACTGTTACAAATACATTGGAGTGCATCAAAAGTATTCAGAAATCAGGGGAGAAAATATCAAACATGACTTACCAAGATGAGTTGGTCCTTTAGCACAGCAACCATCTTTTTGTGTGCCACAGAGAGAGCACGGAAGTAATACAGCAGCAAACTGTAGGAAGAGGACAGATTTCCGTTATCAATCTCAAGCCACAACTAACATGATCATATAAAGAGGTTGTTAGGCCTATTTTTCAATATTTTACAATTACTCTAACACAATAAAACTCTAATTTCTAAATAAAATATGGAGTTTACTTCCAGATGTTTCAAGTGGCATCCATCAATCTTCTTTAGTGCTCTGGTCCCACAGAAGAGGAGTCAGAGTGATGGATGTCACTTAAAACATGCGGAAGCTCACTCACTCACTTAAACAACTCACACATGCCTTGGTGCTGAACACCATCCACCACAAAATTGTCTGTCCTTGGTGCTGAACGCCATCCACACACGTGCTGTCCTTGGTGCTGAACACCATCCACACACGTGCTGTCCTTGGTGCTGAACATGCACACGCATGCGCGCGCACACACACACACGTTAGAAGACCTACCAGAGAATGAGCCATCCACACATGTGCTGTCCTTCGTGCTGAACACACACACACACATGTGCACGCACACACACAAACACACACACACACACAAAGAAAACCTACCACAGAATGAGCACAGCTGGGACCAGGAAGCCCGCTGACCCTATGAAGAAGAAGATATCGCGCACAATCTTCGGCCATCCCATAATAGTCTGTGTCACGATCTCAAACATCGTGTTCAGGGAACGGAACGGTCCACAGGCTCGGGAGGGGTAGATCCTGCAAAAAAAAAGCAAGAAATCGTTTTTAAGTAGCTCATTTTAGCTTCTGTACACCTAAACAAGCCAACAGGATGGGAACAGCTGTGAATAAAAGGCTGATTAAAAGTTCGAAACAGGTACTATGCGGCTCCAGATGCCTTACTGAGGGATGACTGCGGTGTGAAAGATGTCAGTTAGCTTGAATGAATCCACCCTACTTCATAATAAATTGAATTGTTTAAGTAGCTCATCTTCCAGATATATCAAATTTAGAAGTTCTGTACCTGTACCTATACAGTCAAACCTGCCTATAGTGGTCACTCAAGGGACTGGCCAAATTTGACCACTATGGCCAGGTGACCACTATAGAGAAACAGCCGGTTAGTTGACCCCACCCAACCCCCGAAAAAGGACACATGTCTT